AAGTTGATGCAATTAGGAATCATTGGTTAAGATTTATTTACAACAGAACAGCACAACCCAGATGTTCGAATTTGTGCAACGCATTTTATGGACGACAGTTTTTTGAGCCTAGAGTACAAGGCTGGCTATGCACAAAGGCTATTTAAAAAAAAAAAAAAAAAAACTTTGCTATGACAATCTGGCACTTCCTGAATCAGCGACTGTAAGTATGTTTTGTTATTAGTTTAATTATTTGCTATTGACTGTTCAAATGCAGAGTTTTGCGCAGTGCAGTGTAACGCGTTGTGTGTGTGTGTGTGTGAGGGGAACAGGGTCACATCACAGGAGAGTGAACTGCCTGTCAGAATTCATAGCACGTCAGCTGTCTTAACCGCGGCTTGTGTACTGCATCATCACTGTGTCTGTCACACGACTCTGTTGCCCTTTCGGGCTTGAACTGATGGTAAAACTAACGACATTATTAACTGTCTTGATATTTACTTTGAAAGCTGAAGCTCGCGATTCTGGTAAGAGGCATTACATTTCCGACGCGTGCTTGTGGTGTTCAGCCAATCACAATGCACTGGGTCAGCTGACCAATCAGAGCAGACTGCGCTTCTCAAAGGAGGGGGCTTTGTTGAAAACGACGCGTTTGAGAGAGGCGGTGCATAGAGGACCTACAATAATGTTCAGTATTTGAAAAATAATGAGTTTTTTTAACATTAAAGCATGTCAACATATTCTGTTACACCAAATACACAAAATAATGATCTTTAAAATAGGATCATATGACCCCTTTAAACTAACCAGACAGAAGACTTTGACCATGACATTGTGTTTTGCAGCATAAGTGCTAAATCTGGGAGGGAGGAGGGTAAACATACTTTACTACAGATTTTTAATTGAATTCACAATTCAGGTGTTTTAACAAAAATACAAGTTTCATATATTTCCTCACTCGTTTTCTACAGAGGAAGACACACTTAAACTGTTCAATGTTTTTGAACAATTTGGTTGAGTAAATGATACAATGACTCATTCATAAAGAAACTTGTTTAGTTCATGAATGAATCAGCATTTTTTAACAAAGTGAATGGTTCAAATGACTCACTCATAAACACAGTCTCTTGTCACCATAACATGTATTAACATAAACTACAGACCAAATGCACAGAATAACAGTTTGTTTAAATGCGCAAACACAGACAAGCAGAGAGATACAAACAGTGAAATGTCCCAATACTGTTATCCAGCAAGTTTGGAACGCTATTCAGCCAATCAGATTCAAGAACTGTACCATGTTGTATATATTATAAGTACTTTGCCATTTGAATGCAGTGACTTTGACAATTACGTTTTGAAGACAACTGCATATTATTAAAAACATATCAGCTCTTTTAGCAAACAGCTATTAGATGAGGTTAACGAAGGCCAAACACAAAACTTGCTGTGTTTATTTACAGGCTGAAAATTTTTAGTTTCATCCCATTTGGACAGAAGATGGCACTATGCCAGTCTAAATTCTGCAAAGGGCATTATACTTAAAAATTGTCATTAAACACATCACAGTGACTGTTTCGGGATATATATTAATGAAAATGTAACGTTTATTATGGGTCAAATTGCAATAAATACTTCTTAAATATATACTTGAAATTAAAATTGCATTAATGTGCTGAAATGCAAGTACTTACGTTTTAAGCTTTTCACACATAATACAGAGCTGTCAGCAACATAAAAAATGATGTAACTGTAAGCTTAGTATGTACATTAGCGAGCCTATTTAAATACAAATGTTCAACTTATATATTCTGTACATTTTCTTTTTGCACCTGTAATGTTGACAGAGACCTAGCTCAATATCGATACAAAGGAAGCTTCCTAAGAGGTCAGTCACTCAATACATGCGATCCCACATGCAGTTTCTCATTGCAGTCTGCAGCATCAGCCCTGCAGTAATTCTGCTGTCCTAATGCCAGAAATACATCCAGATGCATTCATGATACATTGGCAATATTTTTAACGTTCTATCTATCTGTCCGTCCATCCGTCTTTCTATCAATCTCATGAATATTTGTCGCTATTTTATGAGGTGGCAATTTCATATGAATTCATGCAATTATATTTTTATGAAAACATAAAATTTTTAGCAAGCCACCAATTTGCCAAAACATGAAACAGTTAGAACATGGTGTATGCATTTACCTGTCTATCTATCTATCTATCTATCAATCTCATGAGAAAAATGACTATTTTATGAGGTAGTGTTTTTAAATGAATTTCTAAAATTTAATTTTGTATCATTTTTAAAAAGCCACATATTTGTCAAAACATAAAAAAAATGTATGACTTACCATGAGAGTTTGTTGATTTATCTGTAAAAACTGATATGATCAATAAGTTATGGCAACTTTTGTTTTTACATGACTTTAACTCATCAAAATAATTGGAGCAATTTCAACTTTTTTAGAACTTTAATGAAATTCAACTTTATTTTTTGTATCGTAATTTTTACATAATATAAATTCAGTTTAGTGTAATTTAATCTGTCTATCTTTTACAGTATCTGCACAATTAATCTTCACAATTTAGTGAAAATATATTGACATTTATATTGACTTTTTTTACAGTTGTTTTTATATTTTAGTATCTTTAGAGTGAACAAAAGGAAAAGAGAGAGATGGTTGACATACGGTAAGGACAGACAGTTCTCCTCTTGACTGATGCAGTTTCTGTCGCAGACATGAAGTATAAATAAAACACTCACAGCGTGTTCCTCAAGGCGTCAGCATGAAACCCACAGCCAATGGCCATAAGAGACTGTCTTTGTTACTTCCACCTCATTGTTTTTCCTCTTTCATGACACTGTAACACGTTCAGAGTGCTACTGGCAGTAATGCGGCCGGCAGCAGGAAGTTCAAGAGGCAAATTGCTGTCATAGTCATTAAGATGCATGAAATTCCCCTCATTTCCCATGATGCATTCAAAGCATGTCCACTGCACCTGTTCACTAATCCAGTGGTTCCAACTAATGAGTTGATGATCTGAATCTGGTGTGTTTGATTAAGGAGACATGCAAAACATGCAGTGTTGTGGTGCCTCCAGGACCAGGGTTGGGAACCACTGCACTAATCAGCCAGCTAACTTAGAAGGGACCTGGATTAGAGAAACATGTTACGTCTGTCTTTCCTTATGTGTGTGTGTGTCTTTTTAGCCCCTTTTCTCAAGAATCTCCCAAATGGAAGCAGCGATTTCCACTCTCAGATCTACAGTGCTAATTAAATATTAACATTAAAATGAAATCGGAGGCCACGCCTCCTTTCCCTTTCAAAAGCAAATCCCTCATCAGGTTTGTGTGAGGGGATTTATTGTACAGGTGCATCTCAATAAATTAGAATGTCATGGAAAAGTTAATTTATTTCAGTAATTCAACTCAAATTGTGAAACTCTTATGAATACTTCATAAGACCAATAAAAAAAACATTTTTAGTGAATTGTTGGCCTTCTGGAAAGTATGTTCATTTACTGTACATGTACTCAATACTTGGTTGGGCCTCCTTTTGCATGAATTATTGCATCAGTGTGGCGTGGCATGGAGACAATCAGCCTGTGGCACTGCTGAGGTGTAATGGAAGCCCAGGTTGCTTTGATAGCGGCCTTCAGGTCATCTGCATTGTTGGGTCATATTCTTTACTTTACTCAAAGCATTTTGAGTGTTCAGTTTCACAACCTGACACAAAGTGTGAATTAAAACAGAAAGTGTGTTGTGTTCCTGTTTTTTTTTTTTTTTTTTGTGAGTTGTTATGATGCATACTGTGAATGTATTTTGCTTGGTGTTGTCTTGAGCAAACAGAATCAGAATAGCTGACTCAGAACTGATAGGAAAAAAAAGTTAGAATTCTTCAATGGCGTACACTTAACAGTTTACGTTCATGACGCAAGGAAAAATGTAGCTAATGGAGAGTTTGTATTTTTGGCATTGCAGGGAATACAGCCACTCATCTTGTAATAAGTTCATGCTAATTAATCAGCCTGTCAATCAGTTTTCATACTTTCCTTTCCAATTTTATTTTCGTTAAAAAAAAGAATAATAATAAAGTAAAGATTTGTAAAGAAAGAGTTTACATGAACCAAACCACACCATTACAGGTTTAAGCCACAATAGGAACTTATATCTGCATACTGTACATATTTCCTTATTGGACTCAAAAGGTAAACAGAGAAGTATTGAATACTTTAAAAGCAGCATTTGTAATCATATTGTCAACGAAACTTCAATACTTTTAGAAATTATGTTAATACATCATTGATTATTATGGTTGATTATTATTTAGCTATACACTATGCATCATGCATTAACATAGATATGATTACGTTATATGAATAAATATTCCAATGATATTATAATTATGATTATAAAACATAAGCTCTAACATAAATATGCATGCACAAAAACTAATTTAATTGAATGTAATTTTATAATATGATTTGTATTTTATAAATGAGTTACAGTTGGTTACATTATAATAACAATATTGATATATTTGTTGTACTTTATGTAAATTATGTACATTTAAAGTATACTGATAACTGTATAATGCCTAAGATTTTTCTTATTTTTAATTTTTTTACATTTTTTTAGTGATACTCCAATTTTAACACATTTATAATTCAATACAAGTGTATTCATGTACAAGGATATTTTAATATAAGCTATATTTATATAAATATACTTAATATTATGTAACTAGTATATAAAAAATGCAGAAACTAAACATCATAGCAACATGTATAAATAATAGATTAGAGCATTCAATCATTTATGCCTATTAATTCAGTGTTTATGCGTGCTGAATAAAAATACATGGCAGATAGATTCGACCGCCAGAAAAACAGCATGTGATATAAGCACACATTTGAGTTCTGCTGCAGATACACACGACAGCAGGTGGATGTGATGCTCTGAGTGTACACCATCACATTATCTACACGCACACACACACACACACACACAGTCTAACCTGATATTCAGCATCCGCGAGGAAACGCTGCACGACTAATGCAGAAGACGAATGAGTGTTTGATTCCGCACAGCATCCTCAAGACGAGTGAAAAATCAGGCGGAGAGGATGAGAAGAGAGCCAGACGCGCACTACAGGACGCTGATCGCAGGAATGAACGGTGAGAAATGAAGTGACCAAATATGGCTGTGTTCCAAAAAACACAGCGAGTTCCCTAGCTAGACAACATTTTAGTGCATCATTCCGTTGATTTCGGTCAGTTATCGTTGCAGTTCAGCAGCGTTTTGGACAAAATGCTAGGTACATCTATGATATTCAAAAAATGTTGTTTTGAAAGGCGCTTGTGGTCCCCAAAATGCTGTCTAGGTAGGCAGCTCACAAGGTTTTAAAACACAACCTGTGTGTTAAACGCGCATAGAGCGCCACTCATAGGCAGATAAGCGCACAATGTCTTACAGCAGCAAATTGGACAGAATTTTGTCGAATTTTAAGTCCCAAGGGCTAAAGGCAAAGGTATCAGGGTTTCTTTATGACAAGAATGAAAACGAGGCTGTGAAGGCATAGAAATGCAGTAGTAATAAATTGTATTATTATTTAACAACATACCGATTTGTTTTATTATTATTGTGACTAAACTTTCTGAAAAGACTTTCAGCAGACAAAAACTAGATAAAAAAAGTTATGAGTTGTGAATAATACACAACCTTACTTAGTCTATCCCTCACGAATTCAGTAAGGCATCTAACCTATAGTCAAGTCACCTTTATTTAAATAGCGCTTTTAACAATACAGATTGTGTCAAAGCAACTGAACAGCATTAATTAGGAAAATAGTTGAATTCAGTGATATCATCATCCAGCTCAGTTCAGTTTAAATAGTATCTGTGCAATCAAGTCGAAGATATCGCTGGAAATTAAGTGTCCCCAACTAAGCAAGAGGCGACAGCGGCAAGGAACCAAAACTCCATCGGTGACACAATGGAGAAAAAAAACTTGGGAAAACCAGGCTCAGTCAGGGGGCCAGTTCTCCTCTGGCCAGATGAAACCAGCAGTTCAATTCCAGGCTGCAGCAAAGTCACATTGTGCAGAGGACTCAACTGGTTCCTGTGGTCTTGTCCCGGTAGCCGTCTAGGAGACAAGGTCTTCACTGGGGATCTGTCTCTGGGGCTCATCTAGTTGTCTTGGTCTCCGCTGACATTCAGGGCTGTTAGAGGTCCTCTCTAGGTGCTGATCCAGCATCTAGGCTGGATACGTACTGGATTCGGGTGACTGCAGTGACCATCTGATCTGATCTATACAGTATATATACGTTTTGCATTTCAAATAGTAGGCTATTTAAGATTTTAAATATATAATGTGACAACATGTCCAACTATCAATGCCTGTTTACACCATAGACTGTTAAATGAAATCAAATGTATTAAAAATAAATTATATATAGCTACTATGATGCATAATAACATATTCATATTTTATTACATAAAAAAGTGAGGAAACGATGTATGTGGGAAAAAAAACAAGTGCAGTATATTGCAATGTTATATTTGTAATAATAACTTTTCCAAAACACAATAACTTATCATATAGAATATTTATTTTAATATTCAAAGTGCTGTATGACACTTGCTTAAATGAAAACAGTAAGTTTGGTATCATCTTAAAACAGAGATTATTCAAGTGTCAAATTATTTAAGTCCCCATTCATAACATGACCACTGGGGAATAATTAACAACCCTATCTTGGCCATCGGGCAGGGTTAGCGATCCTGACCCTCATTTATGGGGTCACAAAAGAAGGAAATCATGTAGAAATATCTACAACCCAACAGAACCCCCTGACTGTGTAAACAAGTATAAACTTTAACTGTAAGACTGTAACAACTGACCATCAAGAATCAAGAAGACATTGTGACCTGTGAGAGAGAGTGAAAGCTCTCTCTTGATTGTGTCAGGTTGTGTTTGCTTAACACCTCTTAACCTACTGTAAACACTTGAATTATATATATGTTTATATGCTTGCTGTTTCAAGTGCTATTTCAAGATTAGTTTGATTGGTTGATGCTATAATGAGTGATACAAATATCTGTGATTGACTGTGGGTAAAAGAAAACCTTTAGCGTCAATGGAAAATTAATGAATGACATAATATGGGCACATGGCTAGTTTATGGGTAATATGGGCAACACCACCAGACAGCACTATGTCCCAACTGCACAACCTGTAAATGTCACGAAGAAATATCTGGCTCATACTTCAGTCCAAATAATAATAAAAAACACACACACACAAAAATAAATTAATAATATCTTGCTAAAATAAATTTTATATTTTGATGTGTGTATACATATATATGTGTGTATGTGTGTGTGTGTGTGTGTGTGTGTGTGTGTTTTTTCATTTTGGGCTGAAATATGGTCCGCGCAGTTCCTTGACAGTTTTTGAGAGATTTCACCCTGACACTTGTGTTAGTGCTTGTAAAAATATGACTTGACAAAATCACACACATTGACCCTTCTGACATATTCAAAATAATACTGTTACACAGAAAGAGCGTAAACATATCAAAAGTAACATTACTGTCAGTAAAAAAAAAAATTACATAAATGACATTAGTTGGATCAGTAAATTAAATTGGAGCCACTTAATGGTACATTTAAAAATAATACTATACCACTCTAAAGACATATTACTGTGTAAAGTTTCTTTCTTCTAATACCAGGGAAAAAACATGATATCCTATGACACAGGTAACCTCCCACTGGAGGTACAGCTGTTGGCCTGCTTTATAAAGGCCATCATGATGACAATGATAGATGGATTTGAGATGGACAACTTGTTTGGCTGACTGTAACTTTCCAATGCATTATATATTTAAGGACTGGAAATATATTGCAAATGATTGAGATCTTGATCCAAAATAATAATTCAGTAACAGAAAAGCAACTCTTTCTCCCATCAACCATCTCCTACATGAGATGATCTTCCCTTTTGCTTATGCACAGATGAATCCCTTGCTCATAAAGCACCTCAGAGGTTTCTTTTCCTTTAGCTACTGTATTTCAATACAATCTTTTGAGACTCGTCTGGTCCCTTTGAATCCAGTCTTGAATTCTTCCATTTACATAGGGCTTCAGATGGGGATGTCATTTAAAGGCACTGGGACCCAGAAGACAACCAGTGCTGTGGCTTTTACCACTTCTTCACAGTCAAACTACATGAATTTGGCTCCTCTCTCCCCAAATCTGAGGTATTAGAGATAACTTGCCTGGATGTGGCAGAGCCAAAGCAAAATACCTCCTCAGCCAATATCTTTTTGTTAGCTCTTGAATGCTCCGTGGCGGCTGGCTTTGCTGATGAAGTTCTTCAGCAGATCGTGGTCCATGTCGGCGAAGGCCTGCGTCTGAGTGACAGCCGTCAGGTGGTTAACGCAAAACTTGAAACAGAACTCTTCCAGATCCTGCACATGAAGAGTGGATGGACTGATTCAACGAGAAAGAGAACCACCACCAAAGACCTACAGAATAATATATGAAACCGCAAATATATGTACATGTTTAGGGCTCTGTTCCAAAACCTAGTGAGCTGCCTACCTAGACAGCATTTTTAGACATTGTATACTGCATGTACTATCTTTAGTTATAATTGTATGGTACTATCTAGGGGTAGATGTCACACGTGATCCTTTGAAGTGGACCCAAATTTGTTTAAAGCCGGAGGTCACTTCTTTTGGTTTTCTGAGGCCAGAGTCACGAAAAACTTCTTAAGAAGTTTCTTAGTATAAATTCTAAGTTCATATGAATGTTTACAAGTACAAATCTATAAAAATTCTTGTTCTTATTTTTTTTCTCTTAGGAATTAAATTGCAAGCTTTAGTGTTTTCTAATTGTATGGAGTTCTTGCCAATTCTTGCTGAGGATTCGCTGATCAACTCAATGGAAAACACCCTATAAGCCATCTTTTTTGCTGCATGCAGATTAACATAATAATCATAAGCAGAAAATAGAAGGTAAAAAACTGTTTTCTTAAGAATGTTTCATGAATCTGGCCCCGTAGTTGGTATGAAAACAATCTCGGAGTACTTAGTCATAGCTTAACAATATGCTAACATCAAACTGTGAATGTTAGTCAAGTCTTCTTGAAGTCAGCTATTTTAAAGGGGTCATATGATGCGATTTCAAGTTTTCCTTTCTCTTTGGAGTGTTACAAGCTGATTGTGCATAGATAAGATCCCTGAAGTTGCAAAGACTAAAGTCATATTTGTGTTTGTTTTTTTGTTTATTACAGTATAAAGTCATTAGCAAATGAGCTATTTCAAACAATATTTGTGTTCTTCATTCTTTTCTTTCTTATTAGTGTATAAAGCCATTAACTTAGCAATACGCTAACTTCAAAATCCACTGGATCAACTATGAATGTTAGTTGTCTGCTGTGTGCTTCATTTAAGCTATTTCACCCAATATTTGTGCTTAGATTATGAAGCTGTTGGCTAACATCAAACTGTATTGTACTGTAGTATTAAGATAACATCCATTTATCCCAATGTGCTTTTTAGAGCATTTGTTGTTAGCTTAGCAGTACACTAACATCAAAATCTTTTTAATCAATTGTTAATGTGTTCTTTGTATTTTTTTATTAGTGTATTAAGATGTTAGCTTAGCAAACTGTTTGTCGAGTCTCTTGTGTATTTCACGTCGTCTTTGGACATTTTGAGTATGGTGATCTAAGCTTAGTAACAAGTTAATGTTTATCTCACTAACATTTGGAACAGGACCTGTATTTAACTGAATGGATGTATGACTGAAGGTGTGCACACTCACCCGGGCTTCATACTTGACAGCAGCTGAGAGCAGTGTTATAGCGTTCTCCTCTGTGATGCCTCTCTTGATGGTCTCCTGACACAGTCTTTTCAGACGGCTCTCACGGTAGTACGTGGCCAAATCCAGCAGACCTTTTCAATGCAAAGATCATAGGATCATAAACACCAAACAACATCAGTCAGATATTTGAACAAAAAAATGCTGCTATATGGTGTAGTTAAAGGGTTAGTTGACCCAAAAATGAAAATTCTGTCATTAATTACTCACCCTCATGTCGTTCCAAACCCGTAAGACCTTCGTTCATCTTCGGTACACAAATTAAGATATTTTTGATGAAAT